GCCCGTCTCCCCAGCCCCCGCCCGCCCCCACCTCCGCCCCCTCCTTGCCCCGCAGGCCGGGCCTGGAGGCCCCTACCCCCGCACCGGGCCGGGGCGCCGGCTCCGGTCTCCCAGCCCCGGAGCCCCGCGGTGCACCTGTTATGTTGGACTTTCCACTGAGACCTACTGGATAAAGAATAAAGTTCTATTTATTCTACTGTCTCGCCTGCCTGTGCCTCGGGGCTGCCCCCCGGTCTGGGTGGGGAGGCTTCCCAGCAGGCTGGCGGGCAGTGGCCTGCGCACCCCACTCCCAGCTGAGACCCTCCGTCCCTGCTACTTGGGGAGCTGGAGGCTGAGCTTGGGGGTGCACGGGGCTGGGGCCTGGTGAACACGGGAGGCCGCAGCGCCGCCAGCCTTGGGAGGTCGGGTTGCAGGGTTGTACGCCGCACGGCTCACCCAGACGGGCCGCATCCTTGCCCGGGTCACAGAGTTAGAGCAGGCGGACCCCCGAAGCGGCCCAGCCGCTGGGGGCTGGTGGGAGGAGGTGGGGATCCGAGGGCTCCTCTCTCGGGAGCCCCTGCCATTGCTCCTTCGTCCGCCAGGGGGCAGTAGCTCCTCGCTTAACTCCCTGGCGGAGGAGGAACCTTGAGAGGATTTCCCGCTCTTAAATACCTCCAACTCCTGCTCTGCAAAACTGAAGTACAGTTCAAAGCAACACGCCTGGCTGTACACGAGCGTTCACAAGTCAACGTGCTGCCGGGCGCGGCGGCGCACTCCTGTGATCCCAGCCCTGGGGAGGCTGAGCAGGAGGATCTCTTTGAGGGCAGCCTGGGCTACAAGTGAGTTCAAGGCCAGCCTGAATTACAGAGCAATATCCTGTCTCATCACCGCCCCCCCCCCAAAAAAAACCCTCAAACAACCACAAAAAACAATAACAAAAGAAATACGCTATGGCAACCTACGAAGAAGGAACAAGAGACGTGCTATGGGGCTGTGTGTTTCAATATGTTAATATGAACATTATTATTACTGTTACTTTTGTGGTACTAGGGATCGAACCCTGGGCATGTGCTACACCAGAGCTACACCCCAAACCTTTTATATTGAGATGGGGTCTTGCTAAATTGTTCAGGCTTGCTTGCCTGAAATTTGTAATCCTCCTGCCTCAGCCTCCTCAGGGGCTGAGATTACCAGCGTGGGGACCTCCCTGATTCCAGCAATTTTTATTTTATTATTATTAATATTTTTGACACAAGGTCTTGCTGTGCAGTTCAGGCTGAGTTTAAACTCACTGTGTAGACCAGGCTACCCTTGAACACAGAGCGATCTTCTTGCCTCAGCCTCCCCAGTCCTGGGATTAGAGGCCTGTGCCACCGTGCCCAGCTCTTTTTTTTTTTTTTTTTGGTTTTGGTTTTTTTTTTCGTTACCGGGACGCAAATTCACGACCTTGCACTTGCCAGGCAGGCGCTGTGCCGCTGAGCTCAATCCCCAGCCCCTCCAGCCATTTTTGAAGACATTTAAATTGAAAAGAAGGCTGCGAAGAGGCATTCTGCACAAGGAGCCCGGAACCTTAGTGTGTGGGGGTGGGCGCTGAGCCAGGGCCGGTCCTCCTGGGAATCCTGGAGGCGGGGGCGGGCTCAGGACACAGTTCATCCAGGAGCAGGACCTGGTCCCCGCGGTGACAGTGCAGAGAGCTGGGAGGGAGGGACTTTGAGGGCTGGGGCCGAGGTGTGGGCGCCGTCCGGGTGCCGGTGACTGGCTGACCCGGGGCAGCCTTGAAAGCAGGTGACACTCTGACAAGTGGAGGCAACCAAGGCAACTGGTGAGCTTCGGGAAGTGGGCAGCAGCAAGACGCGGTGGCCGGGGGGCGGAGGAGCCAGCAGCTGGCCCAAGCAACTAGGGAAGCTGGGGTCACCTCTGGCTGTTTGTCACACCACCCTGTCACTCACGAGGGCCACCTCAGTTCTTTGCTGGCTTCTGCACGTTTCTGCCGCAGGCTCTTTGCACCTGCCGGTCCCTGCACCCTAGTGCTCTTCCAGCAGGCAGCTTCCTGGCTCACCTTGCAGGACGTCTCTCTCCCCTCTGGCTGCTACCTGCCATGTATTCTGTGTCTGCTCACCAATGTCCCTGCAGCCGGACATCCAGCAGCCGCAAGGGTACCGAGGCTCCTCCAGGTGAAAAAACCTTGAAACAAAGTCCACGCCGGCCCTGGGAGCCTTTGACCATATGAAGAAAGAACGCTTTTTAATATCAACCACGGGTTGAAACGACACCAGTCTGGATATTCTGCAGTGAAGGAAACAGAACACCAAAACTGCTTCCCGGTTTCCTTTCGCTTTGTTCATGTAGCTAACGTCCAACACCTGGCACACAGCAGGTGCTCAGCAATGTTTGTTGAATGAATATGTCCACAGCGTGACAGAATGAATGGCACTCCCTGCTGGGCACAGGTACGAGGAGCCCCAGGGCAGAAACGCCTTTACCACGGGCCACTGACAGGAAACTTGGCGCCACCCCGCAGCAGCGCGGCAGTCTTCCTGGGACACCTGCCTTGGGGTGCGCGCGCTCAGGGATGGCCTCTCTAAAGCTCTTTCTCCAAAATGCGTCCAAAGGCAGCAGGCAGAGCTCTGGAGGCTGAGGCAGGAGGACAGCTTGCAAGTTCAAGGCGAGCCTGAACTACCTATCAAGAGCCTGTGTCAAAAAAATGAAAACCAAAACCAGAAACAACCCAAACCGACCTGAGGGCAGCGGGCAGGCATTAGCTGGCGGAGCCGCGGGCTGCAGAGAAGGCGACCGCCCAGGTAAAGCCCAGCGCAGAAGGGCGCCCTGGGGTTAGGAGCCGGGAGGCAGGGGCAGCCGGCACCGGCCGCGGCCTGACCAGGCGGGGCCTCCTGGCCGCTCGCTCCGAGGGCTTGGAGGCTCCGCAGGGGCGGGCAGGAGCGGGGAGGCGGCTGAGGGGAGGACACGAGGGGACAGGAGGCCGCGCGGGGGCCCAGGGGTGCGGCGACAAGGCCACTGGCCCTCGCTTGACCCTGGGTGAGCGCACCAAGGGGAGCCGCGCTGCGGGGTGCAGGAGGGTGGCGGCAGAGGAGGCCGGAGGCAGCTGCAGGTGGCTCTGCACGCCTGGTTGAAGGCAGTCAGGAGCCTGTTCGTTCTGGGGCTTCTGGGCACAATGGGGGCCCGCAGTGCGGAGAGGTGAAGATGGAGCCCCACCGCCCGCCCCCAAGGGCCTGGGTTCCCGGGGGAGAACAGCACTGCGCCTGCGCGGGAGGCGCCTCCCCTCCCACTGCGTCCCCGCGCGGCCCCCTGGGGAGGGGACAGCTTCCCGAGGCCCCGGGGCAGCCGGCGCGCGCACAGACGCGCGCACACCGGGCTTTCCCACCGTGTGTGTGTGCGCGAGCGCGCGCCGTGCAGACGCAGGTGTCGAGTCCCGGCACGACGCACGTGTGCAAGTGTTCACAGCGCACGCACGGGCTCACAAGGATGGACGCGTGCACGCGGGGCACACTGTCAGTGTGCACAGCTCCAGGAGGCACATGCGCGCGTGCACGGGTGTGCACAGGCAGGCGGGGCGTCCACACGGGCGCTCTTGCGCACACGCAGCTCCCCGCGCGTCCAGGCCCACGAGGGCAGCGCCTGGCACGGCGGCAGCGCCGTGGGTTCGTCCCCGCGGCCCGCGTG